GGACGGATGATTTGCGCGATATGCCACTAGTTAGAGACGGGAATGTATTTGCATACAGAAAATGACGAAAACACTCAACCATTTAGAGAAAATGCGCCGGGCAGAGAGAACCGGAAGTTGCGAAGGCAAGTGTTACCCATAATGCAACGCAAAATTCAGTCGCTCCCCCGCCCATCGGATGGAATTTTGGGAGAGCAGAACGCCCGAATTGGTGTTGCTATGTGTGTGTGTGTGTGTGTGGGGTATTGCGTCTTGTTTTTGTATTTTATTGCGTCTGAATGGCTTTATATACACTTTTTGCCCCAGTCAGTACATCTAGTGCATGTGAAATGAAATAAATCTTTCCATTTCAGTCTAAGTGTATATTTGAGGTGACTATAGTGCATTCACATTTCCACAAACACAACTTTGCACCAAACTAAACTAAACCCATTTCAATTGAAGCAAGTGTGAATGCAGCCTCGGTCCAGTCTCAAAAGTTTGCGTCTTGTAGTGTTGTTGTGGCATTCCTTAACCCCAGCTGCTGTGGCTGCGGCGCATTGTTACCCTACACTTGTTCGACTCTGGGGACCGTGAGGACTTTGAAGTGAGTGCTGACCGGGGGTCTCTGCGCTGCGCCTGTTGCCCTGCAGTTCAGATCAGGTTTCCGCTCTTCGCTTTACTGTCCCCTTTAACCACTTCACCTACAGCAAAGATCAGAGGCAGAAGGAGCAGGATCGACCCCAATCCTCACCCGATCCGTGGCCAGAGAGGTCAGAGGCATAGGTCGAGGTGGCTGGTGGCTGCAGTGGCGGGTGGCGGGTGGATAGCGGGAAGCCGTGATGCTGTTGTTATGTAATAATTAAAGGGCACAAGGAGGGAGGTAACTGCCCCCCAGAGAGAAACAAGGCCGGCCCGTAGTCACCTAAAACCTCCAATTATCCTTTTTGTCGGAGCACATGTGTGTTCATGCTGGGAGCTGTCTCTGCTTTGCCCGATACAGACAACAATTATAACCCAGGTTTAACATTTGAATCATAAAGACAGTTAGCAGGATGTCTGTGAAGGATTTTATTTTGTATTTTTGTAAGATGCGTAAATTAAACACTTTTTGGTTGTGATTACAAGTGAAACTCTGAAAATTAAAATATTGTTCATTTACTTTAGTAATTCAACTGAAAGTAATACTAATATATGACGGACCGTTATTAGTTATAATGTTGATAATTGGGTCATGGCTTGTAAAATCCTAAATCCTAAATAAAATATCTCAGAAAATTAAAATATTTTGAAAATGGACTGAAAGCCATAATTATCAACATTAAAACAAACAAAGAATTGGCCTATGTCACATGTTTCAGAATTTAACCTTTAAAATGTGTTCCTTAATATTAACAAATATACTCATTTCCCTTTTTACATTTTCTTTTCATTTGCATTCATATTATGTTTTTTTTTTTTCAAAAGAGTTTTATATAAAAAAGGTTAAATTAACGGCTCAACCATGACGCCTGGACCATTATAACAGAGCCTATACCCCACCAATTTTCCCAGAATGGAGTAATTAATCCCCCCCTCTGCTTTTCGAAATGTCTCATTATTAGTTAATCAATGTTGACAACTTTTATGATTCAGAAAAACAAAGGAAACAAATTGCCGCTGGACACATTTCGGTTTCTATGAACAAAGACTCATTCATAATTTAATATCCACTTATTTTGGAATAAAAGAACATTCTTTAAAACCATTAATTATCTCTCTACCACCCATTCTATTATATTCTATACCACAGAATTCTCAGATAGTCACAGCTGGGAGCCTCATGTAGCGTCCGCCTCTACATCAGCCTAACATTGACTTTGGCAGCGTTCTTATGTATTCTCTGGAAGAGCATAAGACACAGTGATACACAGACACCTGGGTCCGATTTGAGAGTTCATGTGTGGGAGACGGGCAGACACCATCACACTTCTTTTGTTTTACATTTAGCTCAGACTAAATATTGTTGCACATAAAAGGACACACTCTGACCACTGGCACATAAGCGCAGCAGCTCATCCAAAGACAATGTGAGAATATAGACAGTGGTGAATGTGTAAAACCTGTTTCAATTCTATCTTGATACAATACTTTGCTATTTTTAAGTGTTGGGAGAAGAATTCTATAAAACGGTCATGCACAGGCAAAGACAAGAAGCACTCAGACTTCCGCCAAGGCATTGACTCTATCTTGCATTTGCGGTGAAAGACTTGTCCCTTACATACATAATATTCACAAATATTTCCAAGTTGCACAGACCTGGAGTGTTTTCAGCTGCTTGGATGTATTAAAATAGTGACGTTTTTGTCTGTACTCTTTTGTATATCGAACTACATGGAGACTATAGCAGTAGCAGGTGACAAAACCAATTTCTGAGTCAGATCTGTGGAGAAGCGATACGTCATTCTTAACATTACATGAAAATCTGAGCAAATTTAAACACTTTTAAATAATGAGTTTCCATGTATATTTCAAGATATTCTACCCAAAAGATCTGTATTTCAGTGCATACAAGCAGGTGGCAGCCCTCCAAATCTATCGTTATTGAATGTACAGTAACTTTGTATGTGTTGCGATTTGACTGTTAATCTACCAAACCAAAGAACCCACCAGGCATCGTTGAAGAGACATATCTACCTCAATCTTAACATTTTTCTCTCCTATAGCCTTTTTAAAATTATGTTATTGTTCCCCATCCATCTTGCAAACATATAAAAACTGCTTGCATACATGTATTTGAGAACATGAAGTGTCCATGTTCAAATGCACGTCCGCTGCTTTATCAAACTTACTGTCAGCAGCTGCATTACTCATGTTGCCAGATCTCGTCTTTCTTCTGCCTTGTGTTGTGTCAGGCTAATGTCATCAGGCCTTTTTCGCACGTCACCACGCCATTGGCTCCAATCCTGACGCTAAACCGCCATTAGGCTCAAGGGTAAAAGTGGATGAAAGATATGAAAAGTCTCGGTTCACCTCTCTGCTATTTTAGTCCCCTTAACTTGATTAGTGGCTACTTTTGCTATGTTTTTGTTGGACCGACCAGGAGCTGCGTTGATGAATGAGGTGCCGTCGAGCAAGGCATGACAGAGGAGACTAAACAGACATGTTGTGTTGGGGTTTTGCCTTGTAGTTTTATCTCAATGCCAAAGATCTTCCCCAATGCAATGGATCACATTTTTCCCCCAATGCCTCTGTGTGATTCACTCTAAATTCCTGTCAATGTTTGTTTTGTTAACCCAAAGCAGCAGAATTGATACATTAGCTTCTGAATCCAGGACACTTTCCATACAGCAACCCGACTTTCCCCGAAAAAAAATCTACTTACATTACTATGTTCTATATTTGTACCGATTTTAGTAGTCTCTGTCTCTTATATCAAATGTATGTAAAAAGGTTGATACAGAAAAAAATAAAAATAAATGATGAAATAACCTTATCTGCATACAATTCAACCTGATTGAATAAAGGTCAAATAATAGTTGTAATGTTAATTCAAAACAAAATGAACTGCTAATAACAATTCTGAATTTCTTTAATGATTATTGGAACTGTAGTTAAAATGTTAGTGCATTAGTTTTTACAGACGTCTTGTTGATATATTGACATTTCAAACACGCCAAAATGACCCAACAATTAAGGAAAGTTACCATTTCCCTATCCGATACAAGATCTATTCAAAACCTGTAACAAAAATCATTGGCCTTACAAAATCGTCTCGTTCAAGCTGTCAATCTCCGCCGTTCTCTTGAAACTTAACTGTTCTTCTTGAGCCGCTCCAAAGTCCACACACTTTACTTTGCACACGGCCCCAGATTACTCAGAGTGAAATAGAGACCGGGACCTTCTTAGCTCGTCATTAATTCCTGTGTTCTGGTTGAGAGCACCTGCTGCGTCTGCCAGCCTCGAAACCTTAAACACTTCACATGAGCTCTATGTGAATGCATGTGTGGGGTTGTGTTTCCAATTCGGCTCTATGTGTGGGAGAAGCCGTCACTCAGCTTCCCCTCTTCTCTCTCTCTCTCGCACTTTCAGGCATTCATTCAGAAAAATCCTACCCTGCACGCATCCATTTGCACATGGCGGTACATTTGTTCCGGCGACTGTCATATACCCACAATGACGCCAATGTTTTGAGCCGTGTTTTCCATTTATCATCATTCATTGTTTATTTGCCTGGACAGCCGAAGCCAAAGCACATGATCTATGAGTATTCCCGCTGTGTTGAATTCACAAAAGAATGACCAAGCTCTCTTCTCTCCTCTCCCTTCTCATTGCTTTCTCCCAGTGGAGGGAAAATGTAAGATAGACTCAAACATGGTATACTCTCTCATGTCTATGCTGTCCGTAGAGCCTTCTTTTCCTTTCTTCTTTTGTTGTGTGTTTTTAGTTCATTCAGCATGTTTCCGTAGAAGTAGAAATTCTCATGCAAATAACCATGCTCTGCAGCTTGAACGCCTTTCACTTTGTAGATTTAAATTAAAAAAACGTAGTTAAAAGGGGTGGAAAACGACACTAGGAGATCTCGCTAATATTTATTCATAATTAAGCTTGCTGCATACAAATCTAAGGAAAATGAGCCAGTAAATCACACTTTATGAGTGTTTTTACGCTTGGGCAAAGTGGAAAATTTGGCAAAGGCAGCAAGTTTACTTTTAATTAATTTGGCTATTTTGCAATGAAATCTGGTAGTGTGATTTTTCACCCTTAAGTGTATGTTAGATGCTTAGTATTCAGCAAATGTAAGAGTCTAAATAATTCATTTGTAAATGCTTACAGGCTGGAAATAACTTTGTTTTTTATTCTATCCCCCTTCTCCTTCATCTCTCCCCCTTCCACATTCTCACTAATTCAATTATTCCAAACTCTCTGTAACTTTCTGTATCTTTTTATCAACTGTATCTTGCTCTGTCCGCCCTTGTGTCTCCTTGCTTGGCTTCCTATATCCTCTTTCCTTTCGCCCTTTTATCCTTTTCTATTTTCAGTGGGAAGAGATCAGTGGTGTGGATGAGCACTACACTCCCATCCGGACCTTCCAGGTTTGCAACGTTATGGAGTACAGCCAAAACAACTGGCTTCGAACCAACTGGATCCCTCGCCTGTCGGCCCAGAAAATTTATGTAGAGCTCAAATTTACACTAAGAGACTGTAACTCCATCCCCCTGGTCCTGGGCACCTGCAAAGAGACCTTCAATCTGCTTTATCTGGAGGCGGATGGCGACCAAGGCAGCCATTTCAGGGAGCACCAGTTCTCTAAGATTGACACGATAGCTGCTGACGAGAGTTTTACGCAGATGGACTTGGGCGATCGTATTTTAAAACTCAACACGGAAGTTCGAGAAGTGGGTCCTTTGGCGAAAAAGGGCTTCTACCTCGCTTTCCAAGACGTGGGTGCTTGCGTCGCCCTGGTTTCGGTACGAGTTTTCTTCAAGAAGTGCCCGAATACGATCCGAAACTTGGCAGTGTTTCCAGATACGGTGCCGATGGACTCCCAGTCCCTGGTGGAAGTCAAAGGCTCGTGCGTCAACCACTCCAAAGAGGAAGAGCCTCCGCGAATGTACTGCAGCACTGAGGGGGAGTGGCTGGTGCCGATCGGGAAGTGTCTCTGCAACCCGGGATATGAAGAGAGAAGCAGCACCTGCCAAAGTAAGTCTCTCACGTCGTTTCCACATCATTACATTTGTGTCTAATGCATCTTCTGCGCTCTCATGTTGGAAATACCCTCAATTGAATTCCCATGCATGAAATGATGAAGCGACTCTGCTACTTCATAGATGTCAGTCCACAACTACCCAGTCATTACCTATAGTTGTGTGTGTGTGTGTGCTTACAGTATGTTTGCCTGTTTGAATTCCCTTGCAAGTCTTGATGTCTTCTCCAGCAGTCCTTTGAGCATCGCTTACCAGAACCTCTCCATGTCACCTCATTAGCTTAACGTCACAGTCAGAAGAAGCTAAGATAGGACTCGTAGAGAAGAATAAAGCCGAGGGGAGGAGTGAATGATGATTGGTCCAGCAGTTGAGGTTATGCTTGTGGGTGTGTGTGGAGCCAGGAAGTGTCTAGAGATAGAACAATGTTTGCAGAAGTAATTTGATATGGTTTATCCATACATACCTGCAGGCAATGGACTTTATCATTGAACAGAAACTGAAGAAGAGTTTTAACAAAAGCCGTTGCTACTGGTGTTGCTTTGGTTTTTAAGGTGCTTTCTCTGTTCCAGGAGGTTAGCTGAGGTGACAGAAGCAGAATTTTTTTCGTGATTTTCACAGTCTTTGATTGTGCTTGATCCTGTTGGCTTCACTACAGAACATTAGGCAAACAATAGCCCTCTGGTTATGCTTATATCTCCATTCTGTGACACAACCAATGAGTTCATAGGTTAAATGCCCGGGTGGTCCTTTTATAAACTCTCATAGGAATGGAAAGTTTAATTAAAACCACAAATGCCTTGCATTAATTACGCATGTGTTTAAACTGTGCTCATGCTTAAGTTTAGTAATTATATGGCACTTTGCAAAATTGGGATGGATTAGTGAGTAAGAGTTATTGCAAATAAACAAAAAGCACTCAAGTTGTTCTGCATAATACAGTGGAATATATCCCGCAAACGTTTTATAATTCAGAACATTTTCTCAGGCTTGGGTGATATGGATGGACACTATAAAAGACTGGTGTGATTATGGTTGACATTATTCAGACATGATAAAATAGCTGCCTTTAGCTTTTTGCTAGTGCTATTCCAGCCTGTTCCCAAATGTTTCCCTCTCCAGAGTCGTGTCTAGTGTTAATTAAAGATCAAAGCCAGTGTCCCAGGTCAGGCCCCTGCTGTGGGACCAGGAAAGCAGCTCTTTTTCTGGGACCATGGACTCCATGTAGTCAGCCTGACTGACTACATATATTTTTGCCGTATATTTGTGTCATGTTTACAACTACAAGGCAATTCACTGTGGTCCATGATTTTACCATGTGTGCAACAAATTATTTAAGAAGTAATTTATTTTTGGAGTTCCCGCTATCTTGTTTGCACACAAAATCAGATCTAAATGCGTATACAACCAATCCCAGTAATTGTATGCTTTTCAACAAACTTTCAAAGTACTAAAATACATTTACAAGAATCAATGCAACAATTAAATCAACACAAATGTTCAAGCCTTGGGAAAAGCTTATAGTATGCAAGCGTAAAAGCTCTCAAAATCCATAATATCTTAACATAACATTTGAATATCGTGTTGAAATAATTCCTTATACCTGTAGTGATGTATATTAATAAGGATTGGTAAATTATGGTATAAATGAATAGTGACTGGACCGATATTTGTTTTCTTAACATCTGATTCATTATTGTCAGGTCCTGCCCCCTATGACCCAGTCTCTTTCCTCTTACTGTCTTTGTGACTTGTGTGAATGTTTGGATGTATTTGACAATCTCTTATTAGTTTCCGAGAGGTCTAATGGACACTAATAAGGTCTTGTGTTACCCTGTAGTGGGACAGCTGCACCAACAGGCCCCTGTGCACAGGCATCAGGAGCTCTCTCTGCAGGCCACTGGTGTTAACAGATAGATGGTGTCCGGACTGGGTCACATCGTGGTTGAAGAAGAATAGAAACATATTTACAGTGCGTATCCAGTTGATAACATCCCATTGGCAGTCCCGTGTGTTTAGTTCAGCTGTTGTCAATGTTAATGGGAATGAAAATTGCCCAGTCTAGACAAGGTTTATTTTTGGAGCAATTAATTAACCTGACCTCTTGAAGCACTCCTCTGTGTCCCATAGACGTTATTAAAGTGTTGTTTAGAGTATTAACTTTGAGCAACGAGTTGATGGGATGTTTTTTGAGAAGCCAATTATCTAAGTAGATTATAGAGAAACTGGTTGTGTACAAAAGTACGGCTCCAGTCCCTGGGTAATTCTTGCGTCTATCTGAGGATGAGAGTGAGCAGGAGCTGGTGGTTTTGTTTATATAGAGCGTGGAGTGTTGACAGACTGTAAGAGTGTGCCTCTGTATTAGACTGTCATTTCTCTGCTGGCCTGTAGGATGTGTGCATGAGTGTAGCCAGATATGTTTGTGTGAGCGAGGATGTTTTTTCAGTGGCGCCGCCATCTGAACACATGAAATGTGTCTGGGCTCAGCAATGGGACACCCTCGGCACCTGCAGTCATCAGTGTAATGACTGCTATGTTGAGTGTGTTACATAGAGTTACATAGGCTCTGTGTACATTGCACGAGACATATTTTGATATTTAATCATGCTTATCAGTGTGTCAAACGTCATCAGATATTTATAAGTGGCAAAATAGCTTGAGTGGAAGTGGGATTTTGTGGCTGAATGGACGTGTCCGTCATCGGGCGGATTACAGTATGTGTTATGGACGTCCTCAGCCCTTCACAAAGTCACTCTTTCATCTGTCATTAGAACGGACTGCAGCAGGTGAAGCCATCCCTATCTGCGATCAGTGTGAATTCTTGCTACACTAATTTGATCCCGCAAAAGCAAGCTGATGTCTATTGGGTTTCGCTGTGTGCGCTGCCATTGCCGGCAGCTGTTCTTTTGTTTCATTGAGGAGGGACGTAGGTTTGCATTCTTGCAGGATTTATCAAGATACTTTATCCTCAGAGTTACCGCAGCCATAATGCTAATAACAATGATGGTAAAGCCATGTTGGAAGTGACAGAGCCATAAGCATATACAAGCTTTCATTTGATCATAGTTGGAGCTACAACTTGTACAGTTCAGCTTTAGTGTTCTCCATACACTAAAGCAGGAGTTTTCTATACTTTTTTAAAATGGGCTTCTGTTGTGCTGTTAATGTTGGCCTAAAATCATCCAAATAAAGCCAGTATATGTTTAGTCGTCATGTGAGATACCTGTGTTAGATAATGGACAAAGGGAGGACCAAGCGATATTTGTAGGAATATGATGTTTTTCAAGAACCTCAATCAATGCTTCTTCAATCAGTGTTATTGAGTTATTATGGGAGTCTAAGAATGCCATTTGGATTGCTCACACTGGACTTTTGACACATTTTGAGCTACGGTCCAACAGTATTGTCATATAATTCTGCCAGTTGAAGCTGGATGCTGCGGATCCACTGAAATCTTGGCCTGCCTCTCGCCCCATGGAAGTGCTCTGTTTGTTTATCCTGGCCCATTATATAACTGGCCACGAGAGACCTCCATCTCACATCACAGAGAATCCAGTCAACACACTTCTATGCAACATCCAACAGCTTCAATGACGCATTTTTTTCTTTTCTTAATAGATTACTACGCATCATTTTCTCTTGATTGCCTCAATAGAGCATCGCATCTGGCTGACGTGCTTCCATTTCAATAAAACATGATTTTCACAGACAGAAGCAGGCGGCAGGAGCACAGGAACAGACAATAACAACCCTGGCTCTCGCAGTTTTCAGTATACCCCTGCTAAGAACTGTGATTTGTCTGTCAATCCGCCGTGTTTGCCGGGGTCAAATAAAGAGTTAAAATGTCCGCAGCTTTGTTCGAGGCGAGCGCTTCCATTGCATCAGGGCTGTCCTCTCTCTTGTCACTTTGGTTTAGTGAAGAAGCGCTCTCTGTTGCAACGTTTTGGCTGTGGGTTCTCTGGCAGTTAGCCCTTTTGGAGCATACAGCGAGCGCTAAGGCCCAGAAAAGGAAGGGGTCAGGCCTGAAGCGAGAGCTGCAGTGAGACATGTCTTGTATCATAATGTTAACACCATATTGTGGCACTTCGTTCCTATATCCTGCACCTTTTCACCTTTACAGCGCTAAAGGGAATGCACGCTGAGTGGATCTTGAGTCTTGTTTCCCCCTGCTGCTTTTAAATGTAGAGGTGAATTTAGATTGGTTATGACATAGAGTATTTTATTGTTTGGATTGGAAAGCGAAATTGTATTCAGATTGTGGTTCAATAGAGAAGCCAGAGGATATAAACGTTTAAAAGGAGAAAGGTTGACAAAAACCACTATTACTTTTGGATTGTCCACATTTTGTCATTACAGATAATTACAGAAAGCTATTGCGCTACATGCCATCTCAGACGTTAATTACAGAAAATTGACAATTGCCGATTTTTAAAAAAAGCGATCATCCACCATTACCCCTCCAAAATCTACATCCATTTTAACCATCCAAACTCCATCTTCTCTCTCTGCGTTCTTGAGACAATATTCCGAGCCGCTGTGTTGACAGTGATCCTCAATGACCTTGATATAAGCAAAACAGGGACGCTACACAACTAATTAACACATAGGAAGCCTCAAAGCGTTCTCGCGTCACAACAGCAGCTGAGAGGGAAACGCCAGGAAGTAAAAGAGGATATTGGAAAAGAAGAAATGTCAGTTCAAAGCAGACAAGCGATGAATATGTATAAACAATAATAGAGAACAATACTAGCGACTTGAGACCGTAGTGCTGCCATGTTCACAAAGCATTTTGAGTGTCCAATATGCCAAGAATTCAACAAGCTCGCAGGGGGAAGCAGAGTAGTTTGTTCATTCTGGCCATTGTTGGCTGTTTACTTTTGTCTTTATGGTCCTTTGAGTAGAAGCTGGAGGCCTGTTGCGCTATGGCACTGGTGCTCTGGGGACTTCAAAGACTCTGGTAACCACCGGCCAAAGAATTCAACTCAGCAAACTCAACGC